GCTTCCTTGCACTGGCTTCTTTTGGAGATCAGAATAAAATTCACAACACTCCTGCCCAGTGTTAAGTAATTGAAGAGGTTGGCTCCTGTCTTCATCAGTGATCTTCAGACCATGACCTTCCTTCAGGTCCCAAAACAAGGCTCAGATAACTGTTCTGTAGCTCCAAGGCTGTGCAGTGGTCTCTGAGCTTACAGTATATCAAATCTTGCAAGTCAGTCGGCACTTTCAAATTCTGTCTTAAATTGTTTATACTCTACCTTTAAATTCTGTTTAATTTACTGTATGAATTTGTCTATACCTGCCTCTTTTATTTACATAAAATAGAGTTTATTCAGCTGCACCCTGCAGCCTGTTCATCAGTGAACTACAGGTTGCTTAGAGAAGACAGGTTTCAATGTCTGGATCTGTATTTGTGTAGCAGTGAATTTGGAAATTAAACCCAGAAAGCAGCATATTTATCCGATGTGGGATCTATGTGAGTTGATGTGTCTGGTACCAGCTGATTTAAGGTACAGAAGTGAAAAATCAACAGGCTTATAGGAACTATTGGAACAGGCGGACCTTCCACCTGTAACAGCATGAAGTAAACTTAACTTAACTATTAGTAACGCATCCAAGCAAAATGAAATACATTTGCATGCTGTTATTTAATGGTTATGGTGCTTTGCTCATTCAACAGTGGCAAGAATTAATGACTGTAGCTCACAACATAACCTGAGCAGCACATTGGTGAAATGGAACTTAGCTTTTTGTGAAGAATTGATAATGAATCACAGGGTTAGACCTAATTATGTGACAGAAAAGGAAAAAGGCATCATAAATAAGCAAAAAGTGTTACTTGTTGTTTTTGGTTCATTTACAAAGAATGCCATTGCTTAACCCCAGGGTCTTCCAATCTCATGAATTTTAATAAATTATTTGTCTTTGGAGAGCAAAATGTAAAGATGAATCAAATCGATCAGGAGGAAACGACTGGAAATAAAAATAATAATAACAATAGAATAATAGTCATAATATGTCATAAATCATGGGCGTTGTGGTGGCCCTGTGACTAAATCTGCAGGATCGGCGCCTGTGGCTGGGAGGTTGCCGGTTTGTATCCCGTGGCCGGCAGAGGAATCCTACTCCGTTGGGCCCCTGAGCAAGGCCCTTAACCCCAGCTGCTCCAGGGGCGCCGTACAATGGCTGACCCTAAGCTCTGACCCCCAGCTTCTCTCCCTGTCTGTGTGTCTCATGGAGTGCAGGATGGGGTCTGCGGAAAGACAAATTCCTAATACAAGAAACTGTAAATGGCCAATAAAAGGATCTTATCTTGTCTTACTGAAGTAGATGTTGAGTTGCAGTGCTGCTGTAGTGTGAAAGGTTACTGTAGTTTCTGTAGAGGAGCCAGAAAAAATAAAGTTTTCTCCCTGTTTCTTAAATTAACAGACCAGAAGATTGACATTCCTGTATTGTCTGGGAGTGACTGGGTGGGAGAACTTGTAACTTCCCTGGAATCAAAATTGGACACAGGGAAGGGATTGAGGTTTGACGGCGAGACTCTTTTTCTTCACCCTAAAATAAGCAATATGTTTAGCCCGACAGTTCTTGTTCCGGATGTGTGTGGGTAAACACATAGTTGTGCACTGCATATTCTTTGCAAAAAAAAATAGATGTGGCTTTCACCACATTTTCTTTTAAAAATACCTAAGAAGGTTACCATAGGAGGTCATTTTATTCTGTTGTGCTCAGTTGATTGCTAGAAGCTCATTGATCCAAGGAAAGTTTTCAGTTTTTCCCCTTAGAAAACCTTTAATAGTATCCTGCTTTGACATGAAGCAATGTATACCAGCTGACAAAGTGTACAGTGTGGTTTCTCATAGGTACGGTGGCTTGAAAGGTTGGAAAAAGCTGTAGCTAGAGTTTGTTAGCTATCAGTCTATTATTGTATTCGCTCAAATTTAGTAATTCATTTGCAGTTTGCAAGCACATTTAAAAGAGGCCTGTTGTGGAGTACAAAAAAAGGGGCCATAAATTTGAAACACTTGAACTGTGTTGTGAAGCTGAAGCAGCCTGTGGAGTCACTGAAAATAAATGATGGGATAAAGATAGGGAGGAGACTTCCTCTGACTAAAAGAGTAAACCAAAAACTAAAAAAAGACAGCAGGAATTTTCAGTTTTTTGCTTTATTTATTTGTGTATTTATATATGATTACTTCTTTTCTATTAGAAAGAGTTTGGCACTCTGGAAAGGTTAGAATTCGTCTTTACACTTGAGCTGCTGTTGTTGCTTCCTGCTGGATTTCTACCTTTTTTTACCAAAGAATTTAAGCATATTGAACTTACTCAGGCCAGCTCCCTGGTGCTGTTTTTTAATTAGCTGGAAATAAAGCATTTCGTGTTGTTTTACTTTTGTTTGTTTGTAGAACTTGCATGTTACCATCTAGAAGGCATAGCTGTGTTAGAGGGGGCCTCACCTCAGTGAAGCTATCTCCTGACTAATTGCATCCAGAAAGACAAAACTGTTTCTCATTACAACGCGATCTTACCAGAGCCATCTTCGATTCTCCTGCAGTGGCGAAGTGAGTTTCAGTTAAACGGCATTACAAACAATAATGCAGCAGCACTTCGTGTCAAATCTGTAGCCCAACTCACTGTCCAAAAACCTTTTGGACCTTCAGCCTTCATCTCCCACACTGTGGGATTCCTTGAGCTTTTAAATGTAATTGGCAGTACAGTACAGATCTTATTCAGTCTGCAATCACCATAAAGCCACTGTTTGTAGAACGAGTCTAAATTATCATTGCATTTTTCCCTGTGATTTAATGTTAATGTGAGACAAGGCCTGAATGCAGGCTCATTTCTGTGTACAAACAGTAGACAGAAGCCACATTAGTAAAAGGTTATAATCATAGCAAAAATGTCATCACTCAACTCAATAGAAAATTAACCTTATCAGGAGATTAGTGTTCCTTACATATCTTACACCTCCAAGAGATCTATTGGATCTCATAATTTAAATTAGGTGTTTGCGTGGAAATTTCTTCTAATAAGCAGCATAACAGCTAATCAATGGAACTGTTCTAGATTCAATAAAGCTGTGATATTGACTTCTCTTGTTCTTACTCCTGGGCTTTGGAAAAGGTTTTTTTCCTTCTTGATTGTCCCTTTTTGCATTTTGGACCTCTAGTGATAATGGGCACAACAAAAAGAAGGTGTATAATGCAAGTTACATATTACAGATTAATACTTTTTTTGAAAAAAGCAAATATTTCTCAATAATATATTGTATCAGCATGGTACAATGTTAAAGTATTAGTCATGGAAGGTTCCTTGTATCAAGAAACTGGAACTGTTGGTTATAGAAGAGGACTAGGAGCATGACCATAGAGACCAGTTTGTGCTAATGTGTGAGGTCATTCACAAGGTCTGTAGTGTACCAATTATCACAAAAGCACTGGTATGTAAGTCACTGGTAAACTGACATTGCTAAAGCAAGCACAGCTTCTTTTGGAGTTTCAAAACATAGGAATGGTAACTAATGAGAGGAGCCTATTTGGTCCATGTAGACTGTTTGATCTAGGTAACTGATCCAAGGATCTCTTGAAGAACACCACAGTGTCAGTTTTAACAATATGGATAGGTAACGTGTTCCACACTCTTACAACCATTTGTGTAAAGAACTTCCTAAAAATGGGAAAGTAACTGAAACACTAGTGAACATTGCTAGCTCTTAGGCAACACCCACTATGACTTTTGTGAGAACAGCTGGATGCCTACAGTGACTGTGTTTTTAATAATGTATAGAAATTGCATGATTAACCAAGAAGTGTGTCAGTGTGGATTCCACGCTAACCATGTGTACAAAACAACTGAGCTAAGGTCAGGACAGGACGTGGGCAATGATTTCCCTGCCTCAAGATCACTTGAGCCATTGGGCTGCTTATTTTAAGTTTCTTTTGAAGTAAAAAGTCTGAAATAGCAGAACTCACTTGATTTAATCTGGCTTTTTGTCAGATGTTTCTACTTAAATACACCTGTTGGTCAAGTCTCAGGTCATCTGAAATGCTAGAGTATTTGTTAGATTGATTTCAGTGTACTGTAGATTTTGAAATTTGGTTCAGTTTTAAAAGACTACTTGTTTTCAGCTAGTATTTATAAGTCTTTATGAGGAAAAGCCAAGGTAGTGAGTTAAAAGAACAGCAGAACAGCATCTTCTCTGATAGGTGCTTGTAATTCAGTAGATGAAACCCTTTACAAACAACGTTTTGAAATGAATACTCACAGAACTCCACGTGAAATCCAATATAAGGGCCTATACTTTGTTTGCACACACATTCTGCAGAAGGTCTTTAATTTTTCATAAGGTAAAAATTGATTGTTAAGGCAATTAATATCACTGGAAACGTCACTCATGAATCCTAGCAAAAGAAAAACTGCAAAAGGTAATTTAACTTGGTTACTGTAGGAAATGAAGATCAGCACAGGCAGTATCTAAACAGTGATGGAGGAGAGAAGGTGCTACTTCTGAGGGTGTCTCAAAAAAAATATCACAAGAGGTTATAAACAAATTGTGCAACAGGCACAAGGCAGTGTACACCTTGGACAGGACAGCAGTGCATTGCAGGGCGCACACACACTCACACCAGAGCCCATTTTCCCACAAGACAATTACTCTACCAGCATGTTTTTGGACCACGGTGGGAGAATGGGGCACAAGGAACATGGGGAGAACATGCAAACTCTACGCAGATGGCACCTCAGGGATTGAGTCCTGGGCCGCAGTGCACCACTGTGCTGTCCATTGCCTTATAACCACGGCAGAAGAAATGGTTATAGTGCCCTGTATTTGACACAGGATCAGCTTGATGGTGTTAATTCACAATGGGAACCTGTGAAGGAGTCTGTGGTCTTCATGTTTTCATCGGCAGATAGTATAATGAGTCTTTTTTCCTTACCCTGGTTAAGATCAGAAATGATTTGTTTCGCTAACGTTTTCATTTTTGTTTGCTTCTCTGTAGATTGGCAAGACGTCCTGTTTGAAGCCCCCCAGCTTTCCATTGTGGGGCCTTGGCTCTCCAGCCAGGTCAAAGGTCAACGCCAAGCATGCTGCCACGCCGTCACCTCCGGATGCCAGCCTTACTGCCACTGGTGTCCCTGCTGCTGTCGCTGCTCCTGATTGGCTGCGAGGCCAAAGGTAGACCTTCTTCCTATTGGTTCCTTGTGTTGCGACAGTGAGATGGAATATGCTCTCAAGTTACCTTTGAAATTATACTCAATAACAGAGAAACATTTCCAGAAAACCTCCCATGCTGTGTTTAAGAAAAACCATATACTCCTGGAAAAAAACAGATAAGAGTTCAGGTCAAGGAGGCTATAGATGAGTGGCTTTTACTAGAGTTTGTCCTATTCTAGAATTTGCTTGGCTGACTGCCTAAGTGTTTTTCTGTGTTTTATGGGTACAATAGTGTGTTGAGTTTTAATGAGGAGAATCTGGGCCTCATAAAACCTGTTGTTGGCACAGATCTCCAAAGGGGGCACAAAGGTAATAAATTCAGCCCACGCTCAGGTTTTTTGGCAGCGCTTGGAGCAGCACTCAGGCGTGACTGATGTCTATCTCTATGATTGTCTTTTATCAATCCATATTTATCTGTCCAGACGTTTATCTTTCTATCAAGACAGTCCACTCTCTCTGTATTCGCAAGCTGTTTAAATTGCAGTGTTGGGCCTTCATAGTGAGCTGTTCATTTTGCCAATATCTCTATCTGTCCATTTTCTCTGGAGCCCTCCAGTCGATATGTGATAGATTGTCTGTGCATGGTGATCTATTAATGCCAGGTCTGTCAGTGTGTATTCTTTCTTGAGTTTGATTTGCCTGTTGAATGCCTCACTGTAAAATACAAATATACTTTTGCTTCAGTAAGATCTGCCACACTATATCCCAGGCCCTTAACTCTGTTCACTATACAACGTCCCTTCCAGTCAGTCAGTTGTAACTATTAGACTGCACTGACTATTGACTCTCATTACTAGCAACTATAGGAGAAAAGGCCCTGTGCACAAGATACTAGGTCATAGTAACATTTTGTCTCTAATAAGCCACACTGCTGTCAGAGAGTCAGCACTGATCAGTCACCAGTACAACCTCCTGAGTTCTGAAACTCAGTCACTGTCCTGCACAACCTGCAGGCCCCTTTTCTACAAGAACTGATCACCGCATCACCATGCCCTCCTTCAGCCACATCACTGTGTAATTGAGACATTAATGAGCTGTACTCTGCCAGTGAATTGACAGCACACACACGAATACAACACCCTGCCACCACATTGACTTCTGTCCTGCTGGTTGCTACAACTGAAAGCATGATGTCATTCTGCGCTTGTTGTTCCCTCCCCCCACTCCCCCCCTTGCCTCCTTACTCTCTTTTCTCATAAATCAGGAGCCCAAGGAGATGTTTTTAATCAAAATAAAAAAGGCATATAAATCATTCCAGTAATAAAGCCGGGGATCCACAAAGTGCCCCGCAGTCGTTTTGCTTATTAAAGTTAACAAACATCCCCTCATTTGTAGAATTAAAAATGTAGAGAGAGGGGAGGAGAGAAAAGTCACCTTCCCTGCTTGCCCTCTCAAGGGAAACTGGGCACATTAACAAAATGTCCCTTTGCTTAATTATCTAATTTAAAGGCCTATTTAGATTGGACACTTTTTTATCTACTAGCATTTTTTGACTAACAGGTGTCCCGAGAAAGAATTGGTCATTTCAGTAATAAAGCCTTTATCGAGATTGACTCTGGGCACCAGAAAGTATCAACGTTCTCTGGAAAAGTCTTCTATTGGTTGACCAAAAAAACACAAGTTCTTCCTGTAAGAAATGAATTTTGTGTGGCTTTGAATAAGGTTTCACCACATTATAATTTTGTGACCATATTGAGATTGGAAGGCATGCCAGGAATTTTTAAACCATGTGCCAGCAACCTGAAGCAAATCAAAGTGGTCCAGTTGACAATATGCATTCACTTCACATTTAATATACAAATAATTTCTTTGCTCCCTATGCTATTGTGAATATCTTTCTCTTTAAAATTAAATGTTACCTGGTTGCCAGTTATCAAATACCAGCACCTGTACTGTTTCTTTCCAGTGACTCAGAAAATGTCAGACTTTAATCATTGGATTTTTAAATTTGAAGCTCCTGAGAGATCACAAGTAGGAAAAATGTATATTTTTTCATTCCACTACTACATCTCCAGAACATTGATGAAGAAAGTAGGGAAGCTAACAGTCAAAACCTCACAGCACTGCTTTCTGTCCTCAGTTTTGGCATTTCTGTTATTCCTTCCAAAAGTCTTTAAGTATGTATACTCAACAATTTATTTTACTTTGTAAACCCCAAAAATGACATACAGTCCGGTGCCATATGTGTTCTGATGACGGATTACAGTTCTGATGCCTTCAAATTCAAAATTAAATCCTTTCCTGTTCTTTTTACATATCACCATCATCATTATTGTTAATATTAATTTATTGTATTATTCAATTTAAATTTAGCATTTATATGGCAAATGATCCTGAAGTGCCTTAAACATGGAACAGGGCTCCCATCATAACTAACAGAAGCAGTAGCAAATAAGGTGGAGAACAGAAGTGAAGAATTACTGAACCATCTAAACCAGAGGAATAACTGAGCCAGACTAGTTCAAAGAGCAGGCTTGACTAAGGCTAATCTAAGGCTTCACATACTTTTTCACTCAAGCATATTTACTGTTATAATACAAATATATCTTAGAGTTCCAAGTGTTATACAGTTATTCAGGTTACCTTCATTTTTTATTAAACCTTTCATGAAGATCTAAGTACTGTACATTTTGTACTTTTATGTGAGGATGCAGACCAGCCTCTCGGGTTTACAAATTGTTTCTCTGTACTGTATTTGAGAGTGTTTTAATTTTGCTTGGAAGATTAACAAATTTTAGATGAAAGAATTTGAAAATTCTTGGAAGTGAGGGGCAGCAAAAACTGCTGTTGACAAAATCTTTGTTTTCTTGGAACATTTGGCCTAACCAAGTTTTCTCAGGGCTGTCAAGTCAATTGCTGGAATTCTGTATTTCTTCCAAAATTTTTGCTTGGATCACAGGCTTCCTAATCTGTAATACACAAGATAGTTGTATTGGCACTTTCAAAATAATTCTAAGAAAGGAATGTTATAGGAATACAAAAGTGGCATTTTCTTTCTTGACAAAATGGTGTTTTTCTAATAGAAGAATACAAATATAAATATTGTGATATTATATGGAATAAATGTAAATGCAGTTTCATGTGATTCCAGTCACCAGTTAAACTGGTCAGGGTGTCCAGAACTTATTTTGTATTTTGTAGCCGTTTTTGTGACATTTATTTTAAATTCCCAGTCTCACTAGGTTTTAAAAGTGGCAGCTTCCCACAATTTTGGATTCCTGGACAAATCCTAAAAATATTCCCTGTCTCAAATGACTAGGGTGTGTTCCACAATCTAGCCACTACACAGGAAGCTGCAACTAAATAAATGTGTTGTCACTGCAGCCCACAAACCACCACACAAAACTACATTCTAATTCTGGCTGCACAACTTTCAATTGACTGTGAATAGATTTGAAAGAGGGATAATCCATTTTTTCTCTCATTGCATTACAAAAAGTGTGTAGCTGAGAAAGACTCAAGAAAGAGCACTCCAGGCAAATCACAAGTCTAAACGGTGTATTTTATAAAGATATCAACAGATGGGTCAAAACAACTGGCTTTCTTTTGCCTGGAACAAAGTCAACTTTGAGAGGATTAGACTCAGAAATCCAGAATGCATTTGACAAACTTCAGCACGGTCTTTACCTCAGGCTCAGCCCTTAGACTAAACTGCAGTGCACTAGTAGAAGATTTTTCAAAGAAGATTCATGCCTTTTTATTCCCAAACATTTCTTTCAAGTATTTGGTTTTTATCTTTCTATTAATAATTTTGTTCTCTCTGTACTTTTGTTTCATACCTAATGAAAAATAAAATCACCCAGTGTTTTAAGTGCTGAGTGATGTTAGGCTGTATCTTAGGCTGAATGCAAATTGAGCTACAGTATGATGTTAAAAAGCTGTGAGGCAGGAAAACCTAAATTATACACTTTAAATGCTAGAAAAATACATACAATATGTATACTTTTCAGACAAACAAATCCAAAGCTAACTGGTAAAGAATAGTGATCCTGTGCAAGATAATGTGTTAAACATTATTAAATAAACAGGCAGTTGGCTTAAATTTGATTAAAATTAGACTTGCTAGAGATGGAGTTTAGTAAAATGAGTGGTGATGGAGGTGGTGATAGCATTGCAGGCTGAAGCTGACGTTTGTGCGCACAAGTGTGTAATTCTCAATAGAATATGAAACTAAATGTTTTGGCTTCTCAACCTATTCTAATCTACCTTAATGGTACTGCTTTGAAGTTGTTTTGCTTGAGCAGGTTTTAGCAAATGACTTTCTGCGGGAGCTTTTGAAGTCAGGAGCAACACAATTATTTTTGCAATAGACTGCATGGGTTGCTACAAAACTTTAAAAAAAAACTAGAATTTATCTAAAGAAGTTTAAAAAATATTTAAAATGCAAGACAATTACTGGATTATTGCATGCTGACTCACAGTTGATATATGAAGGCATTGCACTCATTTGTAATCTTACATGGGGAGATTGGTATTCCTGTCATCGGTTGCTGTATTTATTTTCACTAACCAGAACTGAATATTTACATTTTAAGTTTTCTTCCCCACAGTCCTCTAGATGTCCATGTTATGTCCATGTCTCACTTTTCCTGTTCTAATCGTAATTGACTTTAGCTGGAAGCAATGGGCGCAATTTCAATAATTTATTTTTCTTTGAAGCTGCCAAGTGAAAGTCTCAGGGCCCCCAGGGAGTCATTTTGACAGTCTCTTTAAAGGAATTTGCTCATGTTTTCGAGCTCTCTCTACCCTATACCTACCAGCCTCCTCAGACTCATACCCAACCTGAGGCTTTTTCTGGTTGCTTGTACCATTAATTGATTTTTTTGACCCCAATCACATTTCATAGACAGGACTATTTAACGCTTTTTTAAGTCGCTTGTAATGAAACCAGACTGGGTTTCCTCCACACCTCAGGAAGTGGACGTAAACAAAACCACATCTGGCTGTGGTGTTGCCGTAAC